TGGGTCAGTAATGGTCTGGGGAGGCATATTCATGCAGAGATGAGCAATGGCGCCCTGACTGCCATTAGGTATCAGCATAAAATCCTTAATAATATATATATTTTGGTAGCTATTAATAAAATATATTTTATATATTTTATTAATAGCTTTTATTTTATTTTATTATTTATTATAAAAGAAAATATATAATAATAATAATAATAATAATTATTATTATTATTATTATTATTATTATTTTATTTTATTTTATTTTATTTTATTTTATTTTATTTTATTTTATTATTTTATATATTTATATTAATTAATAAAATATATTTTATTAATAGCCACCAGCCACCAGGTTTGGAAACATTGTGCAATATAACACGGGTGTGGCAGCTAAAACGCTTTTGGATCCGTGACTCAATGAGGACACAGAGCATCCAAGAACACTCTTACTCCTCCTTTGCGGCTCTGGGACTTGCAGACCACGGAATCAACAAAGGTGTTCTATCTCTCACAATGGCATCTTATAATTTCCATTTCTGACAGCTCTGATGAAATGCTCATTCACACATGCACACGTGTCTATCTTATCCAATTACTGTGAGGACAAGCTATGGTTTACTGTAATGAATTATTCATAGCGCAATAAGGATGCACCACAGAGGATAGTGTGTCAGTCTAAAGTGTGCTCCTCAGAATCCCTTTAAAAGATTATTTCTCGAATTCAGCTGCCACAATTGCCCGCCGTAATTAAGTTGCTCTTTGCAGGGGCAGAATCGAGCCCACCAATCTGTGACTCGCTGCGATTAGAGTTTAATTCTGGCTGCCCTTGTAGCTGCACATGGACTTTGACTTGTGAAACGTTAAAATGAGATTTTAAAGGAGGAAGACTCATGACGTGTTATCACCGTGTCGCCATGCACACGTGCACATCCCTCTTCTCCAGTGACGCTAACGTTTTTATTTATTTCTGACAGAAGAGATTCTTTGGCAAATTTTCAAAGACGCTTATCCGTGGCAGTGAAGAGGCACTGAACATAAGCGTGTCAATAATAATGACAGCCGCTATCCACACAGAATTGTTTACGCAATTAAAAAGCTTATATCCAGCAGCGAGCTTGAAAATGAACAATTATTTTAGCTGTAAGAACGAGGCTGGAAACGTGAAAAAACACACAGACAGCACACTTTTTTAAACTTGAGAATGCGCTGCATCTGCAGCAATGTATTAAAGCTGCAGTATGCTCTGTCCTCAACTTCCAAGTTCAAATCCTCTCCTCTGTTAATCCCACGGAGAGGGCAGGGATGATGGGACATACGGCCTTTAGAGAGAACCTGGTTTTGGGCACATGCTTTATTCTGCTATTTAACAAAATGAGCAGACGCCAGCTGTTGCAGCAGTGGATGTGGGCTGAGTGTAAGTCAGGAGCCACGTCATACATGACAGCTGTTTGTGGCATCAGACGATCTGAATTTGTGACTCGTTAAATTGCCCATCTGGGTCAAAGCAATAGTAAATAAATAATCAGTGGGTTTTAGTCATGTGGTAAGTTATTATTTTTAAAAAAATGAACATCATTAGTTACCTCGGCTGCTGTTTTTCTCCTCAATAATTTCACTAGATATTGTGCTCGGAGCTAAGAGCAGCCGAGGTAAATTGCTTGGCCCCACAAAACAATCTGTGTTAACAGGTCTGTAATCCATAAATTAACCTATTATCCTTTTCATAAATTCATGTCATGGTGAATTATTGTATTAAGAATATCCACAGTTAGATAAAATGAAATAAGTATAGCTACAAGCAATCCCTATCCACCAAGGATTCAGGCTTCAATTTCTTCCAAATGCTCTGTTTAGGACAGTTTTTCTACTCTTAGCTCTGCATGATGTCATTTAGAACGCATATCCTTAATATGATCACCTAAGACACACGCACTACTGTTCACTTGTTATGTTTGAGTGTTTTAGCTCCGCTCATAAAGAGAGCGGAGCTAAAATGGTTTGTTTCAGGGAGAAACTGAGGGTCTGCACCAAGACCCAGAATAAGCTACACAAAGCTTAATAAAACTCTGAAGTATGCAAGGGAGAAAACAGGGGATTTAAAATGAGCACGTGTCTTCTTTGAATTATCTTTAAACGAGTTAATATTTGTGTGTAGATGCATATTCATCAGGGGTCCAATGTTTGCTTCCCCCTTTAGTGAAATCACATTTGGAAAGCCCAAGTAGCGGTGCAGCGAGTTCATTAAGCCAAGCTGTTTCACATTAATTTTACATTCAGTTGTTTAATAACTTCAAAGAACCAAACTTAATGGCTTTGAAATTAAAAGTCTTTGAGGGGAAAAAATTAAAACATAATGAAAAAAAAAGTTCTGTGTGAAAATGAACAAAGCAAAGAGTTTGAAATGTTTTTGAAGGGCTTTAACAGGTAAACAGGTCTGTATGACTTTAGTGACAAAAAGAGACAATAACATGTGGACTCACAGTCTCACATAGATTATATGCTGTGGCTTTGATTATTGCATTTGTACGACACTTTTATGGACAATTGTTTTTCTAGCTTACTTTGGCTGTCTTAACAATCCATCAAGTCTACCAGGTTTACACACAATTAGGTTAATCGTCTGCCGGTTTATTCTTCATATATATAATACAAACATGAGAGTATTCGTTTTCTTTTTAAACTCATAGCAAGAAAGAGGAGCTTATAAGCTGCATTTCCCCCCCTCATCTCTGTATTTCAAAGGCTACAGTTTTGTGTGTTCTTCTTGTTCGCCACTTCCCGCTACAGGACTTTGCTTTGTCCATTTCAGATAAGGACTGTAATTTTGAGTGAAGAATAAATTACTTTTTTTTTTAATTGCCTTTCAGAAGGCCAAGAAAAAAAAGAAAAAGTCAGCAAGCAATCAGTTTTATTTCAGCCAAAGCCGTGTGGCCATGCATGAAAGTAGTTGTAATGATTGAATGAGCTCATAGGGTCTGAATATCACCTCTGGAGCCCTACACGGGTTTCTCTAAAAGACACTGGAGGGTAGCCGGGTTCACCGCTGCAGCCTGACTGGAGAGAGTCAGGAAGCGTGTGTTGATGCTTATAGATGTCTGAGTGATGGTAGAACTGCCAGAGATAGAGCTCGGTCATGTTTGAAGTGCTTTAAAGTTCATTATGGAGCTAATTCCCAGCACAGTGAGAGTAGCGTTACAATAATTGCATCTCCGGGGAGAAAAGCAATGGGTGATTTTGTACATTCAAGCAGAGGTGCATTGCTGAAATATGCTCATAGATCACCTTTAGAGGGATTCCATTTAATTAAACATATGGCCTCTCGCTAAATTAAGAGAGAAGGTCTGATCGGATAGAAAAGGAGGAGAAAAAACATTAAAGACTAGTCTAAATTTAAATACTTATAGATAGCAGTAAAAGCAATAAGATTAAACATAAAAAGGATGCCTACACAGAACAAAAACGTAACTAGATATCTATATCTGAATGCTGTTGACCTATTTACTGATAATTGTTTAATTTCAAGTGCTGCTGGTCTGAACAATATATTGATGGACCACTGTTTCCCAGCATAACAGCACAATTGCATCACAGTTCTTCTTCAATCTACTGTGTTTTTAAGGGGGAGATGGGTGTTAGTAATAATCACAGGCTTACGACTTACCCTCCCTTACAATATCCTTGGCAAGAAAGGAGAACATATTTTATTACAGAGTCGAGCTGTGGCATAAATCCCTGCTGTATGGAGGGGGAACATAAAGCTCCTTCTGTGCCTTGAATGAAAAACCTTTAAGTGGTGAATGAACGGCATGTGAGCAAGTGCGTCAGTGGGTGAACTGCACAATTTAAGCACTTCCAGTCTGTGCGACATCCCCACGTCTTAAAGAGAATTCTGCTATTTTAAATCAACCTGTAGGCGCAGAGAAACGAGGTCAGACACAAACAACGTCGCCGTGGGAACCCTGTGCTTCAGCAGCACGGTAACATTTCTCTGTGGAAAAAAACGAGGTGGAGGAAAACCACCTCAAAATGTCACAGGACCCACAGATACGCATTTGTTAAAAAAAGGAAAATCAGAACAGTTAATGAACTGTCACCATTTGGTTTCGAGTGCACGTGAGACTCTGAGTGTGAGAAGTTTCCTACAGAGTTTCACAATACAGAATATAAGCATGTATGTGAAATCTCATCATTACCCCTTTTTACATTGGTAATATAAAAACAGTTGGAGAACATCCCCATCCTCTCTAATCTGTCAGGCATAAGATTACTGTTCAATCAATTACCAGCAGGTGTTAGGGACATGACTTCAGGTGTTCCTCATTAGTGTTTTGACCTTTTACTCACAATACACCCTTAGTTGACGTAGGCCCAACCACAGGATTGTGAAGTCTGGGTGTGTGTTCCTAACAACCCTCCTCATCCACAGCTCAGAAATTAATGCTGGTAGATGCTGGGCAAAGAGAAAATTTTTAAGCTCTGCATTATACTTATTGTGATATAATTAGCCTATGTGCATCACAAGAAATTTGGGGTTTTAATTGGATTACAGCAGTCCTCAATTAAAAGTCATAAATGAATTTCCATTTTAAAACATGCGGAGGCCTTAAACGGAAATAGAAGTAGGGTAAAATAAAGGCATGTAAGTAATGCTGATGTTTGCTAAATTGGTTCGTTTCATCTGCCTGTCAGGACCTGGAGATTGAGAGGATATTTTCATTTCAAAATAAAAGCGGTGGATTGAAAGCACAAGTCAAATTAAAGGGTCAGCTGCATTATCTGTTAACTGTTTGAGCTATGAGGTAATTCAAGAAAGAAAGAACGCCTTTATTTCAAAATATATGTCTTTGTTTTACTTTTTATTTTGTTTTTTGTTTTTTCGAAGTACAGCCAAACTCCTAATCTCAGTAGACCTAAATATAGACCTAAGAATACAAAAAGTCTTACTTTGAAAGTATAAAAGGAAGCCTGACGTTCCTGTTGGGTCTGACTTGTCACTGGTATATTGACCTAGTTTCAGCAAACAGCAGTCTCAGGTTGGCTTTTGAATTAGCGGCGCGCGAGGACCCGGTGTCGGAGCGCCCACGAGCGCACAGCCCCTCGTGCCCAGAGACGCGCGCAGCACAATGCTAGAAACCAAGTTTCCATCCGCGAAATGAATCTCCCTAACGAAACCAGAGCCGGGAGAAGTACAGAACATTACATTTTCGCACTTGGCACCTACAAACTTCTCGCTTTTACCATTGGGACTATCGGAGTATTCGGCTTTTGCAATAACGTCTTTGTCATAATACTCTACTGTAGGTTCAAAAGACTCCGGACACCTACCAATTTGCTGCTGGTCAACATAAGTTTGAGCGATTTTCTAGTTTCTGTCATCGGAATAAACTTTACCTTCGCTTCGTGCGTTAAAGGCGGATGGATTTGGAGCCAGTCGACGTGCATATGGGACGGCTTCAGCAACAGCTTATTTGGTGAGAGGAGAAAAAAAAGTCATTTAATCGTTTATGCTAGCATGTGTTAACATTTAATAATAGTTTTTATTAAAAAAATTTACAAATAAAATTAACCCTGTTACATTTTTGTGTGTCTCGCACTACATGCAAGGAAATAGCGGCTCAGTGTAAATAGGCAGAAGGCGGAGAGAAGCTCATTAATAGCAAAGAATCCACTACGAATGCATGAAGGACGTTATCAGTAACATAAATCTAAATATAATTGTTTTTGTTTTATTTTTTTCAAATGACACTTTATCTACGAGTTCTTGTGCAAATTTCCTCTCTTCACTTGTATTAAAATAGAGTAAACCATGCAGTCCCTCCCCATGATGAGCTGTAGTAATATCTAGCTGCTATGCTGAGCTTTATATTGTGTATTTTTTTTCTTCCTGTATTTATACTTGCACCATACAGTGAGGAATCTTTTGACACCTCCCTGCGTCTGCCCTTCTATGTTAGCAAAAGTGTCCATTTATTTCCAGCATAAGTCTATTCAGCTGGGAAGTGTGAATAAACATTGAGGGTCATTGTCTGGGTCCCACCAGCATAGGAATTAGAGCTCAGCAGGACTCATGTGTGGTAATGAGCTCATTAGTGATAGCCTCCAAGTCTTCTTCCTTTATTTTTTTTTCTCCCGCTTCAGCAAATGAAACCCAGCGAACCGGCTGGACTTCTGTCATCCTGCTGTCCTTTAAGTGACATTGTCTTCTTTCCACATATTCCAAAGGGCACACTTGCTCGCCTGTGTCCGGTGTGCAGCACTGCAGCAGTGGTTGTGGCTTGCAATGTACATATCACAGGAGAATTCAGAACCAAAACGCATACAAAGATAGTGTTGATATAACAGTTTATATAAGATGAAGTCTTTCGTGACTAAAGTGGCATTGAAGAGAGAAGATGCTGCGTTCTGTCTCTTTGGCCCTTAGATAACCTCCCTTTCCCCCTCGTCAAAAGGGGGGGAAAGGATTCTTTGTGATATTTGATATGTGAAAAACTCAAGGTCATGCAGGTTGTCGTGGCTTGATTGGGTGTGAGCACTGCAAATCCAGAGAACCTGCTTACACTGAGCATACTGTTACAATTGAGGTATATAAAAATAACCCCCTTGGCTTGACAGTACGTGTGCCCTCCAATAATCCATGCACAAATAAGATGTCTTCTTTGCACATTACTTTAAGTGTGACTCAGTAACTGACACACAAAGGGCCACAGGAGCTGCAGCAGTAAGCCCTGGCTGTTCTGTCCAAGCACGTCCTTCCTTCAGCTGGTTTGCTGTGGCTCCAACTTAGCGCATACTATATAACGTCTCCCTTTGTAATCTGTGCATCCACCTATTGATGCTGTATCTGTCTCATTCGTATGTAACAAAAGAATAATAAACCTATCTGAGCTTACATAACTGGCTATACATGTATATAGGTTAGGGGAGTGTGTATGATGAAGTTTGACTGAAAATATTTTCCCTGGCATATTGACCTAATTTCAGCAAAGTTATTCTAGATGCTATACCAGGGCTTTAAGAGGTGCTCTTAAGACTGCATGCTTATAAGTAAAATGATGCACAGGATGAACAAAAGAGCGACAGCTATGCACACAAGCCACTTCAGTACGTGTGGTAAAAGCAGGCTGTGTAATGCAGATGCGGGTCCTAAAGGTGTGTGTGCGTAGGAGTCAAGAGCCTCTTTCTGTGCATCTTCACAGGGTTTTGCACCAAAATGATTGAATGTGATGTCCAGACACAAGATGTTCAGATTTGTGTTTACACTGAGTGCGATGTACACTCAACCCAGACACGGTGAGTAGCCACTGACCCAGATCCTGCAGTGCGCGGTCTGCATTACTCAGCGTGGTTGTCTCTCTCCCTTTGCTGCCAGGCATCGTTTCCATCATGACTCTGGCGGCCCTGGCTTATGAGCGCTATATCCGGGTGGTCCATGCACAGGTGGTGGACTTCCCCTGGGCATGGCGAGCCATCGCCCACATCTGGCTCTACTCCCTGGCATGGACAGGTGCTCCCCTGCTCGGGTGGAACCGCTACACTCTAGAGATCCACAGGCTGGGCTGCTCTCTGGACTGGACCTCGAAGGACCCAAACGATGCCTCGTTCATCCTCTTATTCCTCCTGGCATGTTTCTTTGTGCCTGTTGGTGTCATGATCTACTGCTATGGGAACATCCTGTATACAGTGCAAAGGGTAAGGAATAAAAAGGATTGTTTGGGGGTTTTTATTGCTTGCTTCTCTTAGAAACAATAAGATTAATAAACTGAATGAACAACATGGGATTGTTAATGAAGGCTAGCCTATCAAAACATTAACCACGACGGTCGAAACTTATGGTACACATTCCCACAAAAGTACATCTCTATTCAAATATTAACCCCCATTTCAGATGCTTATCGATTTATTGATGTAGAGTTTTGTATGTTGTTATTTCTCACTTCCAGAATAGTAGACTTCAGCTGTTTTAAGATTTTGCACAAAACACATTCTTATTTTTGGGTCATACTCCTGAAACATCTTTTTTTTTTTGCTGTAACTTGAATTTTCACTGCTGTTTTCTTTCCTTGTCTTATAACTGACAGCTCAACTGTGCAAGCATGTACAATAAAAGTGAGACATCAGAGAACAATACATAAACAAAACTCCAGCTCTTATACCCGACAACAAATTCCAGTGTGTAAACACACTCCAGCTGCTTTGAGTGCTAACACCTCAGTTCATGTGACACTTGAAGTGTCGCTGTCTTTCAGCTTACACATGAATTAGCACTGATGTGTCGCAGGACTTCCACTTCAGCTGACTTTGAGGTCAGTTCATCACATGCAGCAAAAGAACATTTCAGCGTTTTATACCAACTTACAAAGGATATTTCAATGTCATCACTTGATCTCCAAATTGACAAATCAATTGTTTAAAAGAAGAGAAAAAAGTGGAACTAAAAAGAAAAAGGTAGAGGAACAACAGTTTACCTAAGCAGAAACCGCTTAAGTTAACTGGCAAAAGGTAAAAAACATGACTGGGTATAAAAACACCATCTTAGGCTACGTCCACACTAGCCCGGATAGAATTGAAAACTCAAAATTGAGAGCAAACAAAACAACTGCTGTATAATGCCCTCCGCTATCTTTGTTTAATTGGTCACATGACTAAAATGTGTCATTGTTTTCGAAAAGGCTCCGGGTTCGTTGTCCACACTGCGACGTGAAAACGGCGTTTTCAAATGTTGTTCCGTGGTCAAGCAACCTTAAAATCTGACATTATTTTTGGAAAACATGGAAACTGTTTTCAAAAAAAGCATAAAGAGGAGAGCGTCCCTCAGTGCTTAGTTTAAAAGCCTGCCTCTGGTGTTATGGGGGTACATTAGGGAATATTGAATTAGGAGCTTGCAGATCTGAAAACACACCACGAATGCTGTATCTACAGGTTTCAGAGCAACACATGTACCCACCCAGATTACATCTTTTTCAGAGAAGGCCTTGCTTATTTTAGAAAGACAATGCCAAAACACATACTGCAGATATTACAACAGCGCAGCTTTGTAGTAGAAGATGCTGAACTGAACTCTGCAGACTTCACACCAATAGAACAAATGATACGCCAAACATATTCAATCAGTATCAGCTTCTATAGCAGCTGATAAATTAAAAAAGTAATAAAGACAGGGGAAAACCATGTCATGAGTCTTGGCATTGCATTGTTTGTCTACCAGAGAGCTCTCTGCGACTTCACTGTTGGAAACATAACCAATATTAGGGAAATCTGTTTATGTACTTACTTTGTAAGTATTGGCTGATATATTGGAATATCACTAAATATTTGTGTAGTTTCAGCTGAAGGGTTGCATTGAGTGAAATCTAATCTAAAAGACATCTGACAATTAAAATTTTTAGTTTGTTTAAAACAGAACATCAGTCATATGGCTCCACCTCACAGTCTATCACACTTCACAGGTTATTGTAATGTGTGGAGTGGATTGTAGATCGACACTTTGCCGTGGTATAAGCTCACTGGGCCTTTAGTCGAATGCCCTAAAAATTGTCGGCATTTATAAACTGTGATTGGCGAATGTAACAGGAAGTCTTAGTCAAGAAGCCACAACAAACAAGTCGTCACTTCCAGACGCTAAGTAAGCATACTAGTCAATAGCTTCCCAAATTGTTAGTACTTAAACTCAGTTACTGTTGCAAAAGTCTTTTTTTTTTATCTCTTTGCATGATTATTTTATACCTTTAGCCAGAGACTGAAAACACAGACTCTGCGGCGTTCATTTGAATAAAAAACACTCCTTGACTTTAAAGGGTTGTGCTGCCTTTCACACATTTTTCATTAACAGCTGTTTTATCATTACATTCCTCTGTGCCTTTGGGACCTGTCTTGTACGCTGGAACTCATCCAGAAAACTCACTATTGTGCTTCTTAGAAGCATTGCCTTAAATTCTTGTGGCAAAGGACAAGTGATATGAGTTCAGTTTATTTTAATAATTTCACAAAAAAATACTTTGTCTGTGAAGGAATCTGCAGTCATCATTCAGGAGATGACTGCTGAAGTGACACAGCATATTTTGTAATGAAACATGTAAATGAGAAAGGGACTAACTGATTTCCAAGCCTTCCTGCATCAGTTTCCTTTCTTAAATATGCACAATCATGCAGGAAGTGTGAGCTGCTGCGTTCTTGGAGCACCTCAGAGGCCTGGGTGGCTTTGTCACATGTCACAGTATTTTGGGAACATCTTCAAAGAGGAATAACTCAGTACCCTGCAGACTATTTCTGGCTTGATATGAGAGCAGCTGGCCGGCTTTGCTACAGCAAAAAAATCTTATTGTAGATATGTGAAGGCCTGGAGAAACAATAGAATTTAAGCATGCAAAAGGTTGTGGATTAATAAGAAAAGAGCACAAATTGTAAACTCATAAATATTGTATTCACGTCTACGTTCAGATGCTGTGTTCTTTTTTGAGTGAGTCTAGAGAATAGCTATATTGTTTATCATCACATCTCTTTAGCTGAAGGGTAGGTTTGATCTGCAGTGTCGTGAACCCAGCCTGTTACCAAGGCATTATCATGTTTTCACAACTTTTACGATGTTACCAACATCTTAAGATACAACTCTCAAGAGGAGAAGAGAGATAAAACAGGAAATTAATGTAATCTATCTTATTGTAACCAGTAAACTAGCCTGACAGCTGTAGAGCTTTGGTGTGTTTAAATATAAAAAGAAATAAAACAAATAGAGAGAACTCCCAATGAAAATGAAAACTAACTTTCTGTTTCTTAACTATCCTTCCATCCATCCATGTGGATACTAAACCAATAAATTTACCACAAGAGACAGAACCGGGATGCTCACTCCAAATAACAGCCGTCCTGACACAGAGCTTAAATTGATTTAATCTGAGTCGAGAGCTGGACTCGGCAGCTGTCCAATCACCATCTTAGTGATGGCAGCCAGGAGAGAGATTGTGTCATGTCTTAGAATCAGAGGCCAATCATAACATGGGGAGCACACACTGTGCTCGCACAAAAGCTAATGGTTAAACTATAAAGTCACAAGCTAAAGTTTTACAATGATTAACAGGCAAAGAGCTCAAAATGACTACACATTTATTGATTTCTACTTAAATGCTGCCCAAACAGTAAATTACACTAAATATTTCAGTGCAGGGAAACTGGATCGAATGTGCACAGAATCGCAGTGTTAGAAAGAAAGACATTGCAAAGGTTTGATTCTGAGACGAGAATGAAATCCACATTGTCCACATGCTCTGTGTCTGTCTAAAGGCAGTTGAAGATACTTCTTGGATAACAAAATAACATCTTACCAATATTTGTTTGTGGATGTACACAAGCAGCTCCTGCGAAGTTAGCAGGAGGGGAGGTTTGTTGTACAAATCCTACCGGCAAGAGGGTTAGGTTCACAAAGTCTGTTGCCATGGTAACTGACCCAGAGTTTAAATAACCGTCTCTTTGACTAAGCCTGCTTCCTGGAACAGGCCCCAAGATGAAACACAGACAAAAGCCCTAAGGATGATAAAAAATAAAACAAAGAAAAACTGAATAAAAACCACTGAAATGTGACTATCGAAGTAGAAGAGCTGCTGAGGGAACAAGACAGACAGGGGAGAATAGGGAGATCAGTAATACAGCACAGGTTGATATATATATCCCAAAGTTGAGAAATTACTTTGGTGCAGCAGGTAGAAATTAGGATTAACCCCCCAAAGAACATAAAATTGTCTTAGATACGCAGAATAAACTAATGAGGCTAAGCAAACAAACAAAATCAAAGACTGTGACATAAATTTACTTTATGACAAAGTGTCACTGTAACTTGTTTGCTTGATAAAGAAATATCCCATCATGTCAGCATCCTGCTCTGTCCTGTTTCTTATAGCTGCGCTCTCTCCAAGATCTCCAAACGGTTCAAATCATCAAGATTTTGCGTTATGAGAAGAAAGTCGCCGTGATGTTTCTCCTGATGATAACCTGCTTCCTGGTTTGCTGGACACCCTACGCTGTCGTCTCCATGATGGAGGCCTTCGGCAGGAAGAGCATGGTCTCTCCCACTCTGGCCATCATCCCATCATTCTTTGCCAAGTCGAGCACGGCGTACAACCCCCTCATTTACGTCTTTATGAGCAGAAAGGTTTGTAATCAAATTATTTTTCTTTCGTTTTTTTTTATGTTTGGGGCAAGGCTACCTCTCCAGCACCAATCTCTTTGTGTTGCTGCTCGAAAATCAGCCCAGGTTAGGCTGCTGTCTAGAATACATGATATATTTCACTTGAGAGTTCTGAATAGCCGCTTGCTGTGTAGTTTGTCATCCCTCCCCCAGAGTAACCACAGCTGACCCATAATTAAATATGGACAAACACAACAAATCGATAGCATCTCAATGTGAGGGGACGGTTTCGTCTCCTGTTGTGTAACTGCTGCTTTAAGTAGCAAATTGCAGGAATATTTTCCCACAAAATGTCACTATTTTTAAAATATTTTTCCATTCCTTAATATGGTGAGCATAAAAATTAATTTTATTTTGTATGTCAGAGTGAAATGGTCCGGACCACTAGTCTTGGTTTGCTGGCTAGAGGCTGATCTCTTGTGTGTTCGACATACTAATGAGTGAAGAAAGGAGGCTGTTGTTAAATACCAGCCTTTGCTTCTGTTTCTCAGTTCCGCCGCTGTTTGCTGCAGCTGCTCTGCTCTCGGATCTCTTGGCTGCAGCGCAACCTCAAAGAGCGCCCCCTGGCTCCGATCGAGCGTCCCATCCGACCGATCGTTGTGTCCAGTGCGTGCAGCAGCGCCAAGGCGCGACCCAAGAAGAGGGTGACCTTCAATTCCTCCTCAATCGTCTTCATCATCACCAGTGATGACCTCCAGCACCTGGATGTGACCTCCAAGGCTGGAAACTCCACGCAGTTCAATGTTATCCAAGTGAGGCCACTGTGAGCCAAAAACACCGGACTTCTCACCCCACCACTCCGTATGCCTTAGGACCTAACATGCAACTCCAAGCCAAAATAATCCTGTCTGACCTCCCTGGCTGTTTCTGTGTCCACACGTGGTTACAGCTTCATGTATAAACCCAACTGTAAGCCCAAGTTCTCAAATAAACCAGTTTGAGTAGTATGAAAGTTTGACATCCTCATCTAACATCGGCTATTGTGATATAAGTAACTTAATGTAGTAGTGGTGGTATTTTTCTCACACGTATTTGTCAGATATGCCATACAGTATATGTGACAGCTGTAGGACTTTGTTGAGTATATGAAACGCAGTTGAGGACCTGAGTTTGGCTTAACATGTGGTAGCATTTTCATTTTTTGGTTGGTACCCAACTGTGTATAATGGAATACAAGCCTTAGATTCTTAGCCATAACCCATAATGCACAAACTGACATTACTGTGTATGGATTCAATAAAGAGACCCTATTTTAAGCTATCTAGCCTGTTTACTTAAGCTCATCTTATTTCAATGTAAATATCAAGTGCGACAAGATCAGTCACTGTGAAATTACACTTGGTAGATTTGCATGTATTAGGACGATGGGAGTAGCCCTACTTGAAGACTAAGAGGAAATGAGACTAAGACCTTAGTGACACGCTCCTTTCATTTCCTCCTGAGCTGTCAGCTATGAATAGATTTAATGAATGGTTTTCCTTAGCTGATAAAAACCCTTTTAACTGTGGATGTGAGAACGAGTGAGAGGGACTTTGTCTTTTTAGACAGTTGGAAAACTGGGACTTGGTTGATTTCTTACTGTATTTTCACTATGAAGCATATCTTATAATAAAGACTGGAAACAGAAAAAAAACAAAAACTTGCCTAGCTGTGTCCACAGGTGACAAAACTGGAAATTTAACATTTATGCTTTTTGCCAGAGAGTGAAAATGATCAATGAGTTTCATGAAGGGTAAATAAAAGTCCTTAAAACCAGTCATCTTCACTTGTTTTATATAGATTATAGCCTGGTGAGCATAGCAGCACATTTGAAGTGGACAAACCAGCCAAACTCCAAACCCAAAGAGAGGAAATACTACATTGCCGGTTGGTCAGAAGTACAGGTGTAAAATTGTATCTTTGTTACCAGCAGGCTGTTGTAAAAAATTTCTTTAGTTAAATCTACAAAAAAGATAAACAGATAAAATCAAAGATAACACAGTCTGACAGGCAGAAAATACCTATCACATCTCAGAGTGGTGTGAAGTGTCTTTTAAAAGTGGAGGGCTGGCAGATCTAAACCTATACTGCAAGTGAACAGCGTTTGATAGTCATATCCTTTCACCTTTCTTGAAGCAGTGTGACGCGATCTTGACAGACCACAGAACAAAACATCCAAAGAAGAGCTCATTAGAGTTGTATACAATTTTGTCGTCTATATTTGCATTTATGTTTTAGCATGTTTCAATAAATCACTGCACTTATTCCCCTGCAACTATATAAAGAAATTAGGGTTGGCTCAATATGTTTGCACAGTAATGTATGTATAAGTGAAACATTGCAAAAACATCAGGTAAAATAGCTCAGATTATCTAATGCAGCTTTAAAAACAAAAACAAATCCCAGATTTTGCATGAAGTAAATGTCACTGGGCCCAGTGGAGACAAAGAAAAATAGCTGACATCATTCTTGTGTAAAAACAGTAAAGACTTCTACACACACCTAAAACTGACCCTGTGTTCTTGAATTAAACTTGCTTAATAATTAAAACAGCAGTGTTCTGCTCACCGCTGCTGATCATTATCGGTTTAACACTAATGAAACGGTGTCATTCTGATCAATCACTGTAAGTCCTTGAAGTGAGGGCAGCCATTATTGGAGTAATTTGCCATTACTGGAGTTATAGCTGTGAATTAGATAATTCAATTCAAATCAAGATTAGTCAAAATCTAATCAATATTTGGGCGCCTCTAAATTCTTTTCTAGTGTTTAACTCTATGTCTGTACACCTGTCTGTCAGATCAGTGACGATGCCTGTGCTCAGAGCGTCCTGAGAGCCACAAGCCTGTCCCACATTTTCTCAGCAGAGACGATGAGCTTGTTGATATCTGGAGGATTTTTAATGAGCAGGTAGGAACCACCAAGAAGAGCTGCCACAGCACTGAGCAGCAGGCCACGGTTTATCACCTGTGAAGAAATGAATAGATAATTAGTTTGAATTCAGTTATTTGCTTCACAAATCACACAAAGGTTGATAGATTGCTTCCAGTTTCATAAACATTAATATCCCAAACATAGCTGCAAAGAAAACACCCAGGCTTTGTTTCCCTGGAGATCTATGGCAGTATATGTGGCAGGAGTGTGGTCTCTGGCTCTGCTGCAGTGGAGGGATGGTGCAGCGGGCTTGAGGGGCAGTGCCAGCGAGGCTGAGGGTGGAAGGGATTTAATTAATGAACGCTCCTCTTTTTATAGTGATGCAGAGGACCAGAGATGAGGTGCAGAGATGTGCGGAGACTGGAGTTATTGAGGTGCCAACCAGCAAACTTTGTGGCTGAGCTGCCTGGAGGAAAGCATCTAGCTTTTGAAACACTGTACAAATAAAACTGTTGCAATATATGCAAAATGCTCAGATTTCAGCCATTCTCACCTGGCCTGTTAGACAAATTAGCAGTTCTTGGGAGGCTTTTATTTAAGCGGTAACATAAATTGATTTCAGCCAAGCATTGCAATCTTCTTTTTTCCCCACTGGCCTTCCCTGTCTAACTGATAACATGACATTACATCTAAACATGGCACCATTGTATATGTACAGTGTTGGGAAGGTTACTTTTAAAATGTATTCCATTACAGAATACAGAATACATGCCCCAAAATGTATTCTGTAACGTATTCCGTTACATTACTCAATGAGAGTAACGTATTCTGAATACTTTGGATTACTTAATATATTATCATGCTGTTTACAACTACATGAATGTACTATTGCTGTGATTTATTACTGTTGCTGAAGGTCTGCGGATCCGAACCGTAGTAAAGAGACCTCTGGCTAATAAGGTGGGTTCTGTGTCGGCTCGTAGCCGAAATATAGCTTTACTTTGTTGTCTGGGTCAACTTTGCTAGCGAGAGATAGAGAGGCATTGAAAGGCTGCTCCAACGGAACTTATTGTGTTCGGAGGAAAACACGAACACGGTGTACAGTCGAGTCTTAATAGCTTACTTACAACTGGGCTCGTCAGGGACTCTTCTTGGCTGCAGTGGTTATTATTATATTTACATGCTTCCAGCTCCCGTTTTTGCTCGATGACAGCTCGTACTTTTCCTTTTTCTCCCTCCCTCGCTCACAGACATATAACGAGTATGGCAGTCCATTCTCCCTGCAGCACGGACTACACTGCCCATGATGCTACATTCTTTAGAGCTATACCTGTAGCATTCTGCCTATTAGCTTAGCATAACAACAACAAAGGCCTCTCTCACCCAGGAAACACGCAGAGAGAGAGCGTCACCCTGTAACCATGGCAACCGTAACGCTGCCGCTTGAACAGAACGTAGCTGTCAAACAAAACCCAAACAGTCCTGACCCGCCACAATATGAAACAGGAAAGTACCGCCGTGTAATCCATTTATTTCAACAAAGTAACTGTATTCTAAATACCACCTTTTTAAACGGTAACTGTAACGGAATACAGTTACTCATATTTTGTATTTTAAATACGTAACGGCGGTACATGTATTCCGTTACTCCCCAACACTGTATATGTACATACATAACTTAATGTCAAGATGATCCCTGTTAGGTGGAGACATAACAATGGTTCCTTGAGTTATGTTATAACTGAATGATTTGTAGGTCATTTATTGTCATAGGGTTAATAAACAACATGTGTTTGTTTCAAAATTTTAAAGTAAATTAAATAATTTGACAACTTTTTAAAATCTTTTTTATATGTAATTACAATATAATAAAACTTTATTGATCCTGAAGGTTGACCCCGAAGGAAATTGGGTAATTGTTGTAGTTCAGTTGCTTACCTAAAGTGAAGCAATCCCTTCACCCAATCAGTGACCTTGCTGTTACTGACACTTTTATAATACATCCTTACACTTCACTGCCACCCTGTCTCTGACCTATATTTTTACCTGTCATTCCATATTCAGTATCACACCACATAATCGTGTTAACTGTAATGCTTCAGAGATTTCTTTTCTTTCTCCCATGAAGGTCATTTCACCCTTTGCCCAAACAGCCCTACGGGTTGAATCAATTTACAAGGGAGGCTGTGAAAATCCTGGCTGTCCAACTGTCTATTAGAGCAGAAGCCGCCAGCACAGGCAAATCAGACAGTTCAATACAGAGCCAAGGACTAACAGCCTTATCTACAGCCCAGCGAGAGAAACCACAAATGCGTACGGCCGTGATGTGTGTTAAATGGAGAACTGTTAACTCAGAGTCGCAGATGCCTTTAGTGCTGCTTCCGATAACACTGTCACTTTGCTAATTACAGTGCTTAGCTGTTCAAAGGTACGAAAAGTCCCATCAAAATTAAATTGCATTCATGTGTAGTGCACATTTTTCCAAGTATTTTACTTTGTTTTGCCAGTGCCACCGCTTGACTGCTTCGTGGTATCTGGTCCTAGTGAAAGTGACCTAGAGACAAGAAAACAGAAAGAATAGCAGATTTAGTTTTCAGACAAAATGATATGGAAACAGTTACTATTCATTAGTGATACTGTATCCAACTTACCATTGTGTAAAGTGGAATTATTGTCTTTGGCATGAAGAAGTAGAGGATGTTGTCAACATATTTTCTGAAAAGGAACCATTTGGAGTTGACGTGTGCTCGCATCTATGAAACAATACAACAAATGTGTTTGTCAGCCATTTGTCCATTTTATCATTAGGTAGATCTTTCAGCCATATGAGAAACTTTCTTTCTTCCTGCCTTTCGATATAATTGCAGCAGTGGAAGATCAAGAGTATTGTTAAGCCAACACGTAGTCCTGCTATCAGTTTTAATTGCTTTATCCATTACTTTTGAGAGCGAGACTTTAAATGCACAGAAGGTTAGAGAACTGTTCCGCTTCAGGAGTGATGAAGAATCAAAATATTTATAGGTTTAGAAGCCAAGCAGATTTTCTTATGCCCATCAACACCTTTTTGTTTTTCAGTTTTCAGTTCAGTGGAAATAAATTTTATTGAGCAGTTTAGATTCACTTGAATAAATGGTTCTAGTGAAAGTGGTACTGCACATGCCTCTTATCAAAATGTACTTCAATGAGACATTTTTTCTAATCACCAAAATGGCTTTAAAAAGTTTAATGGGTCACTTCTGTCACCCTCAGATGAGAGGAAATTGGTTAGGATGTTTAGGAACAACCCAAGAACCACCAAGGATCAAGCCTGCCATGAACAGCAGTGTCACTGTCCACCCTTCAAGTGAGTTTTACATCACTATGGTCTGAGACGTTGCTGACCAAGAAATAAGCCCCTGCCCCAAAACTGATACATTCAAGCTCACCTGCAATTCACAGGTTCCCAAATGGACAAGCAAAATGCCTTCTGGAGAAAATTTCTATGGTCAGATGAGACAATGATTGAGCTACTTGGCCACAATGATAAGTGGTTTGTTTGAAGGTATAAAGGCGAGGCGTGCAAACCTAACAACACTGTAACAACTCTCATGCATAGTTCAATTCAATTCAATTCAATTCAATTTTATTTATATAGCGCCAAATCA